GTTGGATGACGGCCGACCGACCGGTCGGCTCAGTGGTCTAGTGGATAGGCGTTCGCGCGCCAGACCGATAGGTCCTGAGTTCGAATCTCGCGAGATAGGATCTCGAATGCGCACTGCTGAGGAGTTCCACAATGGGACGAAACGACCGTTCAGTGTTTCCGGGTTTTCCATGCTGGGATAGTCTAGCTTCGATTGACCCATGATCTCAACTATTGAAATTACTATAATATCTAGAAAAATCCCCTTTCGATGTTAATGTGTTTTTACTGTAAATTATCAAGATAATTAAATCGACTGTAGGCAGAATCACTGAGTTATATAACCGATAAGGAATACCAATTATCCCATTCATTTTTACATTTATTTGAATGTGTTTACCTTCTTAAAAGAGTTACCTTCTTACTATAGATTCTAATTGTACTCGATAAGGAATTTGATGAGATGCGAGGGGATCACTTCTCAACTAGTTACTAGTGAATTCCTTTTATATTGTCTGTTTGAATCTGCCCATTGGCGTTTAAGACTTCAATTGATCAGTCTCTTATTAGCACATGTACATTCTATGCGGATTACTTCGATATTGCCTTAAATCACATGACGTTTCAAATGAACAATACAAAATGAATTTAAACTTCACCCTATTACATAAGCTAATGGCTATCTGAACTCACTAGCCAAATGGATAACGTGATGACATGTGCAGTGAACACTACTGAATTCAATGCATGAATTGAACATCAACTATGAAATACAAATACATTCAGCTGAGGAGTCCCAACTAGGACGGACGAAACACGCATCTTGCATTCCATTGCCAGCCATCATCCATCTTTACATATTATAGTTACTAGTCAAGTTCCAATGAAATATATGTCTGTTATTCTCTAATTTAATATATAGCTATTCTTCTTAGGTATTAATCAAGCTAATAGATTGATTAAATTTTCTTTTTAAAAATGACACACATGACCTAATCAATTGACCTTCATTATTGTGATGAAATTTACTTATATTACTGAAAAGGGAATAAAAGAAGACGGACGTTTTATACTACTATTAAAGTAGTATCCATTATCTTTGATCCGATCCGATTGATTCAATGTTGAATTGATTCAACTTACTCATCATAATACATGGATTCATTTAACGAGGAAATGTTTTCTACGAACTCGTTAACAAATAACAAAGGTTGTTTAGAAGAAGTAAGTTTCATATTCAATTTGTGCGAATATTAAATTTTCTTATGAATATATATGAAGAATGAATATGAATTTTTAGTTTTCGAAGAAAGATTTTAATAGTTGAGATCATGAGTCAATTGAAGCTAGACCATTATGCAAATCCTGGAGGCAATGGACGGCCGTTTCGTCCTATTGTGGGACTCCTCAACAACTGACCCGGTTGAGCTCTCTGGTCACAATATATATTGTTTAACAATCAAATCAAATATATACTCAGTGCTTATTCAATCAGATCCAAGTGTTGACTCTAATAAATAGGATAACATGAATCAGTTAGATATGAATTATATGAGAAGTTCACAATGTGAGGATAAATGAACGAATGAATGATTGTGAGCGTGTGTGTGTGTGTAAGTTTAAGTTATTAATAGATGATATTATGTGTTAATTTGTTTTTATTAAAAATAAAAATCAAAGTGTGAATTGAAAATGAGAACAATTAAAATTCATAATTCATAGAATGGGGTTTTAAGGAGATTGTAGTAATTTACTAGTTGAATTCATAAATCGATTTAAGCTAGACCAGCAGTGAAAACCTGGAAGCATTGGACAGTTGGTTTATTCTAGTATGGGACTCCTTAACAGTGCTCATTCACGACCCCTCACATGTTCAATGCTTCTATGGTGGTCTAGCTTAAATCGACTACTCATCAATTCAATTATTAAAATACATAACTTCAATAATAAACTATTCAAATGAATTTCTGTCAGAATAACAATACATATGAAATAAACAGGGTTGGATAGAGATAGGGTCCAATTACTTGTTAATGAACATTTTCCACGTGGTAGCTAGTTGAATGCCACGATTTTAATTCAGATTGTTCTTATCAGCCCATATATATATATAAAGAGTTTCTGTGGTTAATCTTTCTTCATGTGTGCTAGAACCTTTCTCAAGCATTTTGGTCCTTTCGAAATTAATCTTGTGCCCTGTTTCACCAGTGAGTTATGAATAAACCAGTTACTCACTAATGGGATTAAATGATGGACACGCCATATTACGAAATAAGAATTTACTTCATATATATATAAATAATCTTAGAAAACACCAGTTAATAGTTGCAGCATCAAATGGATTATTACATAAAGCATAAGATTTATTTCAAATCGAAACCACTTTATTGTCTACCTCAAATATGGTTCGTTAAACACAATGAAACGAGCGCATAGTGTTTTTGATCATCACATCCTACAATTAAGTAATGTAACACAGTCTACTTCTAATTTACATACTATGTTGGGTTTATACAAATCTCTAATGGTTTTTGCATCAAACATGAAGTTTACTTATTATCTAGTTCATACTATCTCAAAATATTGATGAACTTAAATAGATTCATTTGTTATTAGGTGGAGATTGATCATCAAATGAGAGTCCAAAAAAATATTGGATCAACATTACAAATTCACTTGGCATTGTTTTACTTGTATCACAGATGACCTAGCTCTTTTATACCGTACACACGAGCAACCGCAGATGAAGACAAATAGTGTAGCAGCAGCCTCTTCACCAATAGGCCTCAACATACACAAAGGAAAGAGCAAGACCCTCAACTACAATGCGGAGAACACCAACTCAATCACACTTGACAGAGGAGCTCTTTCACGTCTCTAAGCAGGATTATGGATGAACAAGGAGGATCTGATGTAGATGTGGAGGCACGGATTCTTAAGGTCAGTCTGGTATTCCTACAACTAAACATATGGAACTCAAAACAACTGTCAACCAATATCAAAGTGAGAATCTTCAATACGAACGTCAAGACATTTCTGTTGTACGGAGCTGAAACTTGGAGAACTACTACAACCATCATCAAGAAATTACAGGTACTATCAGCAACAACCTACTATGGGGTAGAACAAAGCGGTTTCCAAATGAAGAGGAAATTAGGAAAAGAGGATGGAAATGGATAGGATATACATTACGCAGATCATCAAACTGCATCAAGAGGCAAGGCCAAACTTGGGATCCTTAAGGGAAGCGGAAAAGAGGAACGTCAAATAGCACATTATGTCAGGAAATAGAAGGAGATATGAAAAGGATGAATAACAAATGGAAAGAGCTGGAAAGGACTGCCCAGGACAAGGTTGGAAGGAGAGTGCTAGTAGGCGGCCTATGCTCCTCGACGAAAAGTAACAGGTGTAATTAATTAATTTATTTATTTATTTATTAATTAATTAAGTAAGTAAGTGATGAAGACTGTGTTTTGTAAATTTCATCCCGAATACGTGGACCTTGATAAAATGGTCTGACAATATACGTTCCAATCATATTCGGTTTGAAGTTAGTAGTCTTTTGGTTAGTTTAGGTGTTGGATTTATTTACGTGAAAATGATCCTAAAACATTGAGCCCAAATGATTTGGATAATTTTGTGAAGAATATATTTACTCTTTTTCATAACCAAATATTGTGGCCACTGTCAATATGACTTACATAAAATGGGATTGAAATATTTATTAACCAAACGTTTAATTCAGTTGTACAAAGGAGAAAAATCTTTTCAGAAATGTCTAACTTCAATCAATCCAGTCGTGAGTTCGAATCTCACGAGGAGGGATCGTGAATGTGCCCTGCAGTGGAGTCCCATATTAGGATGAAACGGCCGTCCAGTAGTTCTAGGTTTTCCATGATGGTCTAACTTCAAATGACTCATACATTCAATCATTAAACTACTACAATCTCCAGAAAACCCCTCTCTGATTGTGATTATATATATTAGTTGTTTGCATCTTCCTATCTACGTTTTATGACTGTAGTTGAACAGGTAAGTTCACCTTATGAAATCCGAGTAGGGTAAAACATGCATCCTAGATTCCATTGCCAGCCACTATTCATCTTTGCTTAAAATGCTTGAAAATTAATGACAATATCTAGGCAATCCATATAGGATGTATGTATATCAAAAGAGACTTAACAATTGCATTAATTTTTGATGGAGTTTTGTTCTCTGAACTGGATGGTTTGGTCGTGGAGCTTTCATCATTCTTCTGAACGACATTATCAGCACAAACTTCAGGTAGACTTCTTCAGGTGACTTCTATCTACTTCATCATATTATGGGACTCCTTAGCAGTACGCATCCACGATTCCGCTCGCGGGATTCCAACCCAAGGCCTTTGGTCTCTCTCTCTCTCTCTCTCTCTCTATATATATATATATATATATATATATATATATATAAACTCATTTTCAAGTTGTATTTGTCAAGCTTTTCTCTTTTAATTCTAATGAATCAACCAATGAAAATAAAAGAAAAATATATTTAAACAAAGATATTAATAATGATTGAATTAAAAGGAACATATTCAATCTTGAATAGGTTCCAATTTTAATGAATTCCGTTTGAGAGAAACCTTTTCAATCAAAATGAATTGAATCAATATTACTTATATTATTCATTATGAATAGAAGAAATGAGATGAAAATAATTATGGAATAAATAAGAAACAAGTAGATAGTATTGCAGTGGATTCGAACTACATCATGAGGCAAGCGATAACATGGAATCGTGAAGGGAAACATACAAGAAGAAGAAGAAGAAGAAGAAGAAGACAGTCGAAGAATACACTATGTCGGAACTTGAAAACAGACATGGAAAAAAAGAATAACAATTGAAAAGAACTGGAGAAGATTCATCAAGACAAGGTTGGGTTGAGAATGTTGCTGAGTGACTTATACTCTTCCATAAGGAGTAACTGACATCAGTAAGTTAATAAGTTTCGGTTCAGTGAAAGAAATTTTTTCCTTCTATTTTTCATTCTTGTTGAAAGAGATTGGTAATACTTTTGAGTGGTACTTTAATGTGTCGATTCGTTGATTGATTGATGCGCGTGTGTGTGTTTAACATTTCATTATGATTTTTATCAGGATATACTTGTGAATTAGGATTCATCGATTGTCTATTAACCAGTTTACAATGTTTATACCAAATACTTAAAAGATCTGGTCTACTATGCATTTGTAAATAATTACAAGGTTCACATAAATAAGGATAATTTTTATAAAAAGTTGAATAACCACCATGTAATATATAAACAAATGGATATTTTAATGCAGGATATGAAGTGAAATGTAATGCTCTATCATGATTACGCAAGAGATAAAATAATTGTGGTGCACGTTTTGTAGAAAATTCACAATATAATATAAATATAGTATGAGATAGTTTTGGTTTAATCAGTTGTTCCGTTGAATATAATGAGTTACTTAAATCCATTTCAGTAGTTTCAATAGATTGTCGTTTTATACCAAAAAAATATTTATAAAGTTCAGGCCAATCTGATAAATGAATAGCAATATAAATATGTCCAGCGTTACATTCGTGTGGATAACGATAATCGATAATAAAGAAATGTTGAGGATTCATTTTCAACTTTGATAAAGTGATCATTTTTTGTTGATTTGGAAGTTTATGTTTATATCTAAGGTCAAGCAAACAACATTTTGATTTCTTATTACATTTACCATTCAATTGTTCTTCATTAGGTCCAGTAAATTCTGAAGATGATGAGGAAGGACAAGAAGAACAAGAAGAACAAAAAGAGCAAGACGAAGAAGAATACGAAGAACGTGATGATGATGATGAAGACTTGGACGAAAAGGAATGTGATAATGTACATATTGACTTTGGAAAAGTAGATGATTTTTTTACAATCATTGATTTCATCTCAATCAACCAATTTGCTAGTTGGTCTACTTCAATTGATGGCCATGGTGAATGTAAACTATTATTCAATGTCCAAAACTCATAATGATGAAGTGAATTCTGTTGAAAAACAATTGATAAAATAAACATTGAAGTTTTATTGGTTAAAAAGTGTCAGATAGAAATTGCTGTTTGAAGTTGTGAGGACGACCCATGGGTGAACTCGAGGAAGCTATAAGAAGCTTAGAAAGAGCTGAAGATATTTCATTCAATCATCTTTTGGAAGAATATTCCAGAATCCCTATGTATAGTTTCCCTATTGGACAAATGCTAATAACCCCTTGTATGCACATTTGAGGGCTATGATGATGATTTCGTTTTTACTAGAAACTGTAAATACCTAACATTTTTGTACCATAATTGATGCTGTTTGAAATAACATTTCTTTTACTTGTCTTTTATGTTCTAACTTGCGACTTAGGAGGGTTTTAGCGTTCGACTGCTCAAATTGTACGTGATATAATAAAAAACTAAACTCAAGATATAACGGAAGTGATTTTAAGAGTGAACTCAAAGATGATGAATCAACGTTTACTTAAACATGGACTCAGTAGGGATAAACCAACGTTTTGACACTGATATTAAATGCACTAACTGAGTCTGTGTGTAAAGTTATGAAATATAGATTATCTAGTTACCAAGTTACATGCAAGGTTTAGGTTGGTTAGTGGTAAATGATGATTACTTCCAATTGCCAGTAGAAAGTAAATTATACCATCGCCGATTGATAAACTGAGCCCTAGAAAATGAATTTTAACCCTCTAGGTGAGACTTTAGATATCTCATTATTCGAAGATCACATAGTTGATAACTAAAAGTTTGTAGTTATAACGTTAACTGTATTCGAGGCTTATCCATTTTTTTCTTACTGTTTCTGCCTTTTTATTCTTTATATACAGGTATTATTTTTCCTCATATCATTTTTCTCTGAAAGGTTTGTATCACAAAACCGTTAAATATCATGTAACGCTGAATACTTGTCCAAGTTTGAAACATTTTAACAGTGTACATTAATGACTTAATCAGATATCATATTCAAGAATTTCATATTAAAAATCTCGACCGTGCTGCTAACTTGGCGCGGTGGTCGGGCTTGCCTATCATGATGACCCAACCGAACTATGTTGGCTGGGATATATGTCCTGTAGGCTCTACCATGTCAGGCAGGTCGATTGGAGAACGGTAGAACTAAAAGCAGCAACTCATGGTCTGAGGGCGAAGTCGTACTACTGACTGTAGAGGGGTGTGACAGCAGTAAGGTGTTTCCCTCGGACAACCAGCATCTGCAGCGATGCTGCCTTCTCACAAGGAAGGAAGGGGTTAGTAAAGGTCGACCCTGAAAATGTCACACCTCACCTTACCTCACGGATTTCCGTCTCCGGCGGTAAGGCCCTTTGAAGAACGGAGCTAACACGTCAAGAACCTCCTACAAAAAGGCCGTGCGCGACCGGCCTCAAGCAGTTGTCCTCTGGGCTCTGCAGTCACACTCCCGGGGCGTTAAGGCCGACATTAATCCTAATTCTTTTTCAGGTTCCTCAAGAAATGCTCTTCCACGGTGTGGGCAGCCGGGAAGTGACACCAGCCCTCATACCCGTAATAGCATACGAGACCAAGTTGGTCACATTCAAATCCTTCCTACACCTCTTAATACCTCTCTTATCTCCACGACCAACCCTTCTCACGCCCCTTTATCACCTCGCACTGCTAGGGCGAACGGTTCGAGTACGCGGAACGTTATTCCTGGTCTCCTGAAACCACGCTCTAAACTACACGTAGGAGCTTTCAACGTACGAACACTGTGCCAAATAGGACAACAGGCTTCCTTAGCTAGGACTTTAGAATCTCGAACCATCGATGCTTTCTGCCTCTCCGAAACACGCATACCGGATCCGAGTAGCGTCATTCATTTGAACTCACCATATCAAAATAAAAACCCAACTCGAATTATACTTCGTATATCTGGAAGCCTTGATGCTGCTTCGCGTAGCCTCTCTGGCGTAGGTATAGCATCGAGTCCTAGGGCAGAACTAGCTCTCTTAGAGTGGATCTCGATAGACAGTCGTTTGTGCGCTGTCCGACTAAACGGAACAATAAGGACTCAGAAAGATAGGGACACTCGTCGTTGCCTCTTCGTCGTCTCTGCCTATTCTCTCACTGACTGCAGCTCAGATGATGTAAAAGATGAGTTTTACAGAAAGCTCTCCGATCTTCTCCGAAAAGCTAGGCGCTCGGATGTAGTAATAGTGGCCGGTGACTTTAATGCTCAAGTAGGTAAACTAAGCGATAGGGAAAGACACCTGGGTAGATCTTATGGTGTCGTGGCTCAAAGAACAGATAATGGCGACCGTCTGTTGCAGCTATGCTCAGATAACCACCTGTTCCTTGCAAATACTAACTTTAAACATAAGGAAAAACATCTTTTAACATGGCGACCCCCTAATTTGTCCCAACGTTGGACCCAAATAGATCACATCGCTATCAGCCACCGATGGAGGGGCTCGATAGAAGACTGTCGCTCATTCTGGAGCACATGCTTAGATTCAGATCATGCTCTAGTGCGAGCGCGTATTTGCTTGCGTCTTACTGGACGTAGGAAAGACGCTGCAAGGAAACCTCTTAGGGCCCTACTTAATGATAGTCAAGCTAAGAGTATATTTCAGGAACAACTAGAAAAACAGGCAGCCATGTATGTGATGCCCACCCCGATGCAGCATGGAATGATATCCGAAAAGCTGTGGAAACAGCAGTGATATCTGCTAGTAAGATAAACCAGAAGGTTAGGGAGCAACACTGGATCTCAGCAGCATCTATCGCACTGATAGATGCTCGGAAACTCATTCCACCTGACTCTGAACATAACGAAGAGCGGAGTCAGCTTAAGCACAAGCTGACAAGAAGTCTACGCAATGATCGTGAACAGTGGTGGGTAGCGAAAGGGAGATGGAAAAGGCAGCGGCAATAGGTAATAGCAGACAATTGTTCAGACATGTTAAGGAAACCGGTATTAGGAAACTGACTGTTAGCGAAACACTCTCAGAGATAGATAGACATATTATACATTCTCAATCCAGGAGATTGGATCGATGTGAAGAACACTTTAGGGATCAGTTCAACTGGCCTTCAGCCACACTTCGGTTTCCCACGATCTCCAGTTAACCTGAATGGCAAGTTAATGTAGGTCCTCCGTCTCTTTACGAAGTTGAAAAAGCCATAGGAAATCTGACGTGAGGGAGAGCAGCAGGCACTGACAGGTTTACTCCTGATATTTTTAAGGATGGTGGTTCAGTATTAGCAGTGAGATTAACTGAGGTCTTAGGCAGAATTTGGGGACTGAACGTAATCCCATCTGATTGGTCTCAATCAATGATTGTGCCAGTTTTTAAGAAAGGACAAAAGTCCTCTTGTGACAATCACAGAGGAATCAGTTTGACAAATATTAGCTTCAATAATACTTCGACGACTAACCAAAGCTCGTGAAGAACAGACTAGAGGAAATCAGGCTGGTTTTCGACCTGGACGTGGTTGTATAGACCAGATATTCACACTACTTCAAGTTCTAGAACACAGACACACATTCAGACGCCCCATAATGATAGTATTTCTTGACCTTAAGGCGGCATTCGACTCTGTTGATCGTGAGGTTCTATAGCAGTGTTTGTCATTGAAAGGAGTACCAAAGAAGTACATTAACCTTATAAAGGCTCTCTACTCGAACACAACTGGTCGAGTGAGAGCTTATGGTGAACTGTCATCAGAATCGATTACCTCGAGTGGTGTTCGTCAGGGCTGCCCACTCTCTCCATTCTTGTTTAACTTTTTCGTCGACGTAATTTTAGAGATAACACTTTCCTCATATAAATTTCCAGGGGTTGAACTTCTACCAGGAGATTCACTTGTTGACTTGGAATATGCCGATGACATAGTTCTATTTGATGAAGACGCTGACAAAATGCAGAGTCTTCTGACCACTCTAAGCAACAATGCAAGCATGTTCAGGATGCGATTCTCCCCCTCGAAATGCAAAATGTTGCTTCAGGATTGGGTTGCATCGACACCCAAACTAATGATGGGGAGTGAAGTAATTGATCGTGTCGATCGCTTCATTTATCTTGGAAGTCTCATCAGCCCTTGTGGTTTGGTGTGTAACGAAATCTCAGCACGGATACAGAAGGCTCGACTAGCTTTTACCAACTTGCGTCGTTTATGGCGTAGGCGAGATATACGTCTATCAGCCAAAGGACGTGTTTACTGCGTAGCAATTCGTTCCGTCCTACTTTATGACAGCGAAACGTGGCCGGTAAGAGTAGAGGATATTCGTAGGTTACTAGTATTCGACCATAGGTGTCTTCGAAACATTGCTCATATATCCTGAGACCATCAAGTAAGTAACGCAATTGTTAGGAAACGGGTACTAGGTAAGGATGGCAAATCAATTGATGAAGTAGTGAAACTTCATCAGTTGAGATGGCTGGGACATGTGTTATGTATACTCAACCACCGAATGCCCTGACGTGTGATGTTTTATGGTGTAGGAGGAGGTTGGAAGAAAGGTAGGGTTGGCCAGACCAAAACATGGCACCAGCCCATGAAGTCACTGACAAGTGGACTGAGCCATGTTGGTATGTGTAGACTACCTGGTTGGGGACCGCGAGTTGATAGCAACCGATGGTTAGAGAGCCTGAATGACATGGCTCAAAATCGTTTGCAATGGCACAGGTGCATCCACTCTTTGTGTTCTTCCAAATTTTGATCTCCTTATTCCTCCTTGTCTCTTTTTTTTCTCTTCTCAAATTTATTTCACTGTATTATACTCTTTAAATAACATCTCCAAACCCTAATCTTCCTGATTACTGCTTATACTCTTACTACCTCTACCACTACGTGATTTGAATCGACAACTGCATCTGTGTGCTAATGTGGTATGGCAACTCGATCTGATGTACATACGTACGTACGAAGTTCTACGTTGTGACTGACTGAGTGACTGACATTAAGAATGGTTCATAAAGTCGAATTTGAATATCCTATATACCTAAATTCAATCATTTCGCACTGTCATTCATATTCTTATTTAGATAATAATTAGTGAT